CCAAACCAAGTACTGAGTACATATGCATGCTTACACTTTTCAGAGATCCGATATTGTTCTATGTACAATCCTTGTACATGATAGGAGGACATGATGATGGTGAGTAGATTTGGGGTTTTCATGAGCTGTAAGCCATAATCACAGTTATGACACATCACGGCTTTAATTATCTTGCTTTGCATGTAATGAGTCTATCTCATATATTAGTTTCACCTTTTAAGTTGCATTACTGAAATAAATGAACTTTTGCACGATATTCTATTTTTTTGAGTTTCACAATAAGTTTGAATTAAAAAGTATGACTACATATTTAAATATTTATTCATCAAAGCATCATTGGAACCATAGCAAAATCTCCTTTCTTATTCACTATGTTTTTCGAGTTTCACCTGTAATGTAAAAATATTGAAAGTATACCAACTGTGGCTTTGTGATCATTTAAACTCTAAACTCCATATGATAATACTGTAGTATGGAGAATGATAACCTTGATTTATAGCAACTTTCTACAATAGGTGCTCTCCAGAAGGTCTGGGTTTTAGGTATCGTAATACCTAACCAGAATAGCTAGACAAATACCAGGACACCTCTCAGGGCTTCCCACATTTACAAACCTAGGGCTCATAAATCAGCTCTACTTGCTATCTGCTACCTGCTACCTACAACCGTCTATCAGGATTGACTCAAGGATATTTGAAGGTGTTTCTGTCAAATTTTAGGCCAAGGACCATTGATTCTCAAACATCCTGTATTACTCTGACTATCACAACCATATTTAGCCACAGAATACTCATGATAACCATCCTAATATGGACCCCAAATACTTGTAACTCTTTGGAACTGCTGTCATATCTAACCATTGGATGTCCATAGTGCCTTTTGAACTTAATACCACTGTAAGGATGGTACCATATCTTTCATCCCTTCTCACCATGGGCATGCTACAACATCCAGACTACACCCTTCTTTAGGTCTTTAAGTAAGCTTAAGGCTTACAAATCAGAGCAGGTTTACTTAAAGCTTAAAAATGACATAAATGTCATACAAAATTGAACATCTAATATTTTGTAAATATTTGCAAAGCTCATTGTGCTAATCTAAGAGAATTCCATCTTCCTTCCAAATTACTTTTTTTTTGGCTTCTTCTGACAACCTGAGAAAATCTGAAACAAGTTTTTCCTTGCTAAAAAAAACAAACAAGGAAGGGCTGGAAGTGGAGAAGGCAAGGGAAATAGATTGTGGGGCCCTAAGTGTTTTGGAAAAATCATATCAAAATAAAGGCAGAATCAGTGTTTCTCATATGGCTCCTTTCATTAAAACCCAGACAAAATTTCCCCATTCTGAGAAGGGACATCACCTGCTGGAGATGTACGTAGCCATTTCATTGTTATTTCTAAACTGCTGTGATGGGATTTCTCTTATGAATGTTCTAAACAGACTAGACTAGACTAGACTAGACTAGACTAGANTTGTATCTCTTATCTGTGGGAGTCTGGGTTGCTGCCAACGTCTTGCCTGTGAGTAATTGCTGTGAATAAAGTGTGGCTAACAGTAAGCCTGTGTCAGCATTAATCACTGGACAGAGGGGGGTCAGAACAGCTGCCCATCTGACAAAACTCTGATGATGTTTAAAAAAAATTTTAAATAGTAATTCACGATAACAGCAACATTATTATCAAAAACATTAAAAACTATAGAACATAACAAAAAATAAATTTGGAAAGGAATGCTAATAATAGACCCGCCTCACTAATTTTCCAGTTCCTTGGTGTCCTCAGGCTAGCCTTGTGGTGGTGGGAAGGATACTTTACAATGTAGGTACATCAGAGCCAGGAAAGCTCACTGCCTAAGGCCTCCCAAATGCAGCTCCCTAAATGGAACCCAGAGCGTGCCCTCTCTACTAGATCTGGTGATACAGGAAGATGTAATTGGGGAGAGGTGGGTTCTCCAATAGCCCCATGCCAGTAGAACCTTAAAGGTGAAGTACTGAGCTCCTTGATCTAGGAATCTTCAACTGGTGTACAATATGAAGTTGTATGAAGGCTTCTCTTAGCCACAACTGCCATCTGCCCCTCAAGCAGAATTTGTGAGTCCAGGAGGAAGCCCAGATTGTGCACAGGATCAGTTTGGGGCAGTATAATGCCATCCAGCACCAAAGAAGTCATAGTCTGAGAACTGGAGGGTCCCAAAACCTAAAGCCACTAGGTCTTTCCACATTTACGTGAAGCCAGTTGTGCCCCATCCAGAGCATCACTTAATTTGCCAGGGACAGAAACTGTAGAATTGAATATTATCAACATATTGATGATACCTCGTCTCATGGCGACGGATGACTTCTCCTAGCAATCTCATTTAGATGTTAAATAGAAGAGGAGAAGCACAACCCATGTGGAACCCCCTAATATTAAGGGCCCAAGACTAGCTATCTCCTCCCTAATCACCAATTTTATCATGATTCCTGCATGATCAGGATCTCTGATAATTTACACAGTACCATCCCCTGGATTTTGTGATGCATGTAGTAAGAGCTGAGGGATATATCATGACACTGTCATTTATGTCACTCTGACTACCCCATTACCTTCCTTCTTCTTCATGGATGTCATAATATTTATTTATTTACATAAATCATTCCAATTGGTATTTTCAATCTGTTTCCCGGTGATACTGCCATGTGAATCAAAGATCTACCTGGTCCATTTGCTTTGCCAATATTCATTGCTATTTTAACGGGTAAAATACTTTGTAAAACTGGTTTTACTTTTGATGAAAGCTAATCAAGTTTTTTTCATAAAAGGAAAAAAATAATATTGTACAAAACAGTACAGAAAACTGGTCTTATTATTTTTAAAGAACAGACTGGACAGCCATTTTGTCTGGAACAGTGTAGGATTTCCTACCATGGGCCAGGGCGTGGACTAAAAGACCTCCAAGATCCCTTCCAATTATTATTATTATTATTATTATTATTATTATTATTATTATTATTATTATTATTATTATTATTATTATTATTATTATTATTATGGCAATTGAAACCACAGTGCTTGGATGTAACTGGCAATTTTGTAACTGATTTTCATGTATAAGAAAGAAAATTGAGATGCTGTAGGTATTGTACTATGCTATCTACCTACTATATGTACAATTGCTAGAACATAAGGGCTATTGATTTCCATGGGATTTATATCAAACTAAAGGATCTTGAGATTGAAATTTATATGAAATGTGCAAGTCTAATCTTTGCTGAGATTATGGCAATTAAAGATACAACAGCCAATATTGGAATGTAAAAAAATACAGCTATGAGGAGGTACTAGATATTGCCAAAGACCCTCAGCTTAATTCCCCCTCGATTTCCTACTTTTATTATATATTTTCATGATATTTTTTCATTATATATTTCCCTGATATTATAACTGATAGATTCAAATAAAAATATAGATGCACCTAAATTCACATTGGCAAAAAAACGGAATTAATCAAACAATAATAAATATATTCACTTATCATAGTTATTAAATCATATAATATTTATACTAGTAAGGAACTTAAACTTCCAAACTCTATTACAAATATAATTATATTTAGTTTACCATTCTTAGCATGTTGCTAGCTGTTGGACTCACTGATCTCCTCAAAGAATTGTGCATGTTAACAATCTCATCTTGCTTTTCTCTTCTCCTGGGTGACTCAGATTCAAAATCAACCTTAAGGTAACAAGCAAAATAAAATAAAATGAAAACAATTAAAATTGTATGACTTTGAATAGAACAGGCAGCTAGTGGCCTCAGGATTCAGCACCAGTCCTTTGAATGACATTGCCTTATCTTCTTCTATCACCATTCTACTCCCTGCAACTTTCTTCTGACCCCTAGCTATGAAACAGTGGCCCCATTTGTCTGTGTACTGGATAAGAGACTAGCCATGAGAAGCAGGTGATAACAGAGCCAAGTTAAAATGAATTAATCATTATTCTTCATGGGAATACTGCAGTGGTATGTATTTATATAAAGAATTTATGGTTCCACCACAAAACCGCGTTCGACTAAACCACGCTCGACTAAACCGCGTAGCTGACGTCATCAACAGGGCGACAACAGCGCGGAGACAGAAGCNTGCTATTGCTATTGTAATAGATCCCTGAATTATGTAACAAGAAGATCCTGGTTAGAGACTAAACAATGAGGAAGAAAAAAATGTTGGGCTGTGAACAACTGTCACTGGGGCAGGGGAGGGAGGGGAGGGTTTGTATGTTTAAAGCTGTATTTGTATGCCTTATTAAAAAACGTATAACCAATAAAGACTATTTAAAAAAAAGTACAAGGGCAGTGACATCCCCGAGTACAGAAATTCACCAAAATGAAGCTGACAGTGAATTAGAGAATGAGGGGATGGAGGAGGTTAACTATTTAAAGGAAGCGAGAAAGAGAAATTGGCCAAAGGATCAGATATCACCTCCTGTGTCCTGTATGTGTTGCAGAGGGAATCATCCCCAGACAGATTGCCAATTTAAGTTGGTGATCTTTCAGTGTTGCAACCAGAAGGGTCACCTGGCCAGAGTATGCAGGGAATTGCAGCCTTCTATAATCCAACCAGCAAAGTTTCAGGCTAATAGGTGGCCACCACAGAAAAAGCCTTGACTGGGAGATGACTGTCTTGCCATTTTCTGGGCTAATACCAGAGTGGGTGAAAGAATTAGCCCAACTAGCAATGGACTTAATAAAAAGATTCAATTGGCAGTGCAGATTGAAGGAGTGGACAGTTTGATAGAGGTGGACACTGGGTCTGCCATCTCTAGAGTGTCCTGGAACACTCTGAAAAGAATTATGCCATCCATATCAAAACGCCGGTTACAGGAAAGCGGGCTGACCCTGAGAGACTACCAAGGGAACAATATCCCCATTCTAGCTAATGGTTTATTCAGGGTCCAATACAAAAATTTCTGAGGACACCTGCCTCTGGTTGTTGTTGCTGGGTCATTACCCAGTCTCCTGGGGTTGGATTGGTTTGAGGCATTGAGACTCAAAATTAGTGGCATTCACCAAGTCCAACCCTCAGATTTGGACATTTTGAAGAAGGAATTTCTTGTGGTGTTCAATGGGAAGCTGGAGACTTATACAGGGAAGCCGGTGTCTTTCAACCTAGACCCCCAGGTTGCTCCAGTTTGCATGAAGCCGCAACGGGTGCCATTTGCACTTAAAGCTAGGGTGGATAGACTGATTGAACAAGGCATACTAGAGCCAGTAGACCACGCCAAATGGGAGACTCCCATTGTTACTCCCATTAAGCCAGACGGGTTCATTCCTTTGTGCGCTGACTACAAATGCATCCTGAACAGTGCCTTACCTGCCCATGCATACCTTGTGCCAGTGATCCAGGATCTCCTACATTCTCTCAGATAGGGCAGTATCTTTGCAAAGCTGGACCTGCATACCAGCAACTGCTGGTTGATGCCAAAATAGCAGAGGTGCAGACCATCATAACGCACAGGGGTGTGATTAAATGTAGGCAGCTCCTATTCGGAGTTAGTGTCGCACCAGGACTTTTTCAGAGCCTGATGGAACAGCTTTTACAAGGAATCCCTGGGGTCATATCTTATTTTGATGATGTCCTTGTTTCTACAACAAGCCATTCCAAATTTCTAACAAGACTGCAGCAGTTTCAAAAAATGGGTCTTAAAGTGAATTGGAACAAATGCCAAGTGGCTGTTCCACAGGTGGAATTTTTGGGATTCCTCGTGGACGTGAATGGGCTGCATCTGACACCAATGAAGATGCAAGCCATCAGAGATGCCCCAACCCCCACTTGTAAGGCTGTAAGAGTTTTTAGGCCTCTTCCTGCTGCATAAAGCATCAGTTGCAGAGCTGCTACATCAATTATTGGATCAGAGGGCTCCTTGGAGGTGGGGACCTAGGGAGGAAAAGTCATTTGGGGCTGTCAAACAACTGTTAGGGTCAAACATAGTTCTCGCCCAATATAGCGAACTTCTGCCACTCTGTCTTTCTTGTGATGCCTCCCATATGGGGTGGGGGATGTCCTGAGTCATATTCTACTGAATGGCAATTCTTCTTTTCAAGAGCCTTGGCAACCACTGGACGCAACTATAGCCAATTAGACAAAGAGGCCTTGCCCTATCACTAATAAGAGTCCTGCTCATGGGACGGAGGCTAAGGATGGTGATAGATCGCCTGCAATCCCAGTTTTGCCCCAGAGAAACCACTAGACTGCATGGGGGTCTGTAGGATGTTCGTCCTAGGGGAATCGATTTATGCTAGGAATTTTGTGGGCCATCCACTGTGGCTGCCTGGCAAGGTCAGATAACCGGACCTTGTTCTTACAGGGTAGAATTGTCGGACTGACAGAACCTCTTCTGTAGGTGTGGCCTGCTTTGTGGGAGTGGATTGTCAGCCATGTGACCGAGTGGGAGTGGCTTGACAGTCATGTGACTGGGTGGGCATGGCCAACTTGTAAAATGTGGTGAAACTCACTT